TTCTGCACTCCATTTGCCAGCAAATTTGGAAAACGCAACAGTGGCCACAGGATTGGAAAAGATCAGTATACATTCCAATCCCAAAGAAGGGCAACGCCAAGGAATGTTCAAACTATCGCACAATTGCACTCATATCACACGCTAGCAAGGTCATGCTCAAGATCCTACAAGCTAGGCTTCAACAGTACATGGATAGAGAACTGCCAGAAGTACAAGCTGGGTTTCGAAGAGGTAGAGGAACTAGAGATCAAATTGCCAACATTCGCTGGATTATGGAGAAAGCAAGAGAGTACCAGAAAAACATCTACTTCTGCTTCATTGACTATGCTAAAGCCTTTGACTGTGTGGATCACAACAAACTATGGCAGGTCCTTAAAGAGATGGGAGTACCAGACCACCTCACATGTCTCTTGAGAAACCTGTATAAGGGCCAAGAAGCGACAGTTAGAACCGGATACGGAACAACTGATTGGTTCAGCATAGGAAAAGGAGTACGACAAGGATGTATACTGTCACCTTGCTTATTTAATATATATGCAGAGTACATCATGCGAAATGCTGGCCTGGATGAATCACAAGCGGGAATTAAGATTGCTGGGGAAAAGATCAACAACCTCAGATATGCAGATGATACCACTCTAATGGCTGAAAGTGAAAAGGATCTAAAGAGCCTCTTGCTCAGAGTAAAAGAGGAGAGCGCAAAAGTGGGCTTGAAGCTCAACATCAAAAAAACTAAGATCATGGCATCCGGCCCCATCACTCCTTGGCAAATAGAAGGGGAAGTCGTGGAAGTAGTGACAGACTTCACGTTCCTGGGATCCCAGATCACCGCAGACTGTGACTGCAGCCATGAAATTAAAAGACGCCTGCTCCTTGGGAGGAAAGCGATGGCGAACCTAAACAGCATGATAAAAAGTAGAGACATCACCCTGCCAACAAAAGTCCGCATGGTCAAAGCAATGGTATTCCCAGTAGTCATGTATGGCTGCGAGAGCTGGACTATAAGGAAGGCCGAGCGCCGAAGAATAGATTCTTTTGAACTATGGTGCTGGAGAAGACTCTTGAGAGTCCCTTGGACTGCAAGAAGAACAAATCAGTCAATCCTCAAAGAAATCAACCCTGACTGTTCCCTGGAAGGCCAGATAATGAAACTGAAGCTCAAATACTTTGGCCACCAAATGAGAAGGGAGCACTCACTGGAGAAGACCCTGATGCTGGGAAAGATTGAAGGTCAAAGAAGACGGGGACGGCAAAGGATGAGATGGTTAGACAGTGTCATTGTCATTTCAGACACCATGCCAAATCACAGCTAAGCTTCCTTTGCTGTGGTTTGACACAGAGTCTTACTTGGTCCTGTTTCCGCTTGAGGTTTTGAGACATATTCCTTTTTCAAAGCCATTCAATGCACGGTCAGCTAAAGGAAGCGGGGATTACTCAGTCCCTGTGCTCAGCCACCCGAGTCCAAAGAAAATCGAAGGAACATGCAGACAAGGGGGGGGGGCAACGGATGACAGACAGGATACAGTCTTCTATTGAGTCAGACGCTTGGTCTATCAAGGATAGTATTGTCTGTCTACTTTGATCGGTAGCAATGCTTCAGAGTTTCAACACTGTGGTCATAGAATCACAGAGTTGGAAGGGCCCTCCAGGGTCATCTAGTCCAACTGCCTACACAATGCAGGAAATTCACAAACACCTCCCCCCACCACCCCAGTGACCCCTGCTCTATGCCCAGAAAGGGGGGGGGGGAGACCACCTCCAGGATCCCCGGCCAAGCTGGCCTGGAGAACAATGTAAGAAAGGGCCCCAAGAACTAAGCACCGCAGCCAATGTCATGTTTTATTGTGTTTTAAACCTTATTGCATTATTTGAGATGATGTGAACCGCCCTGAGCCCGTTCACGGGATGGGCGGGATACAAATATGAAAAATAAATAAATAAATAATAAATAAGCCACAGCCCCTTCCCAGAAGGCAGTAATAGGTGGTGTGTGTAGTGATTATGGCTTTAGACCATGGTTACCAGAATGCTGCTTTAAAGGAGCTGCAGTGGCTCAAGTGGTTAAGACGCTGAACTGCAGGCTGGAAGGTCGGTAGTTCAGCAGTTCGAGACCTGAGTGCCGCATGACGGAGTGAGCTCCCGTCTCTGGTTCCAGCTCCTGCCAACCTAGAAGTTTGAAAGCAAGAAACTGCAAGTAGATAAATAGGGACCGCTTCGGTGGGAAGGGAACAGCGTTCCGTCTGCCTCGGTGTCTAATCATGCCGGCCATTTGACCATGGAAATGTCTTTGGACAGCGCTGGCTCTTCGGCTTGGAAATGGAGATGAGCACCCAGAAGTGACGTGACGATGCCGGGAAGAAACGACGCCAGGAAGAAACGACACCCGACTTGGCAACCCTATTTTATTTCTATGTCTTAAATTGTTAGCCACCTTGGTTGCCCTTATGTGGGCAGAAAGGCAGGATATAAATTTTGTAAAATAAATTAAAAAATGATTTTAATTTTAATTTTTTTTGCACACAAATAGCTAGTTTTGAAGTAAATAAATGAATGAATGTTGTTTATTTTGGAGTCACAGAAGTATGTAGAAACAAGAGCAGCAAAAGGACACACCTACAAAATTAGGTCTGCATGTTGAAAAGCTTATTTTGAATTTTATTTTTATTTTTTGGCAAAGGCAAGTGTTGAATAGGCTTTGGTTGTTCGGTTATCGTCGTTTTTACCACAAGAGCAAAACCCCTGGATTAAACATAGAACTAACCCTAACTGGAACGGAGCTGGAGCTATGCCGATTTAATCAGTTTCCACGGTTGAAGAGACATGTTTAAACTGTACAGGCTATGGTCAGAAAGACCATGGGCATTTAAATACATACACAGAACTCCTCCTTGAGTGGATTTCCCATTCATTGCAGTGGCGATGGTGTAGCCACATTTATTTATTTATTTATTGAGATTTTTACCCCGCCCGCCCCGCGAAACCGGCTCAGGGCAGCTTACAAGGTGCAAAGCCCATATAAAACAGGATAAAAGCAATAAAAACATTAATAACAATCACAAACAACAATGATATTCAATTGAAAGCACGATGGTCCCCAAATATATGCAATGATGGTAAACAGACAGTTCTCTGGGAATGATGTTGTCCTATAGCTGATCCGAAGCAAGTAAGTCCAGTGATATCAATCGCGCGAAATTGTGGCAGATCTTCCTGGGCCATCCTTAACCCCGATGTTGTCCACATCATTGGTGGTGGTGGTGGTGGCCCCTATGTGAAAGCCTGGCGGAAGAGCTCTGTCTTGCAGGCCCTGCGGAACTGCATAAGGTATGTGATAGCATAAGGCATAAGGCATGTGATAGCTGTGCCCTCTGGAAGTCCTTCAAGTAAGGCAGTTCTTTCCACAGTGCCTGACACTCATATCAGGTCTTTTCTCATCCAGCCTGTCTGTCTCACTGTGATAAAAATCCCAGATTCTACAAAAGCTACACAGAACAGAAGAATGGATTCACAGCACAGCATACCCACGAAGCATGGTTATGCCTAATAAACAATGCTGCACAAATTGGTAGGAATGTTCCCTCCCCATGCAGGCAAAATGGCCCTTCTGAAAAGATGTGGGGAGTGATTGCTGCCCTTTCGGTCATTTTCCCTGTAGCTCTGTCACTCTTGGGGGTACCTTGACCCTCAGCAGCAGTTTGGAAGAGGGGCACTGGGAAACAGGTCTGCTCCACCCAAGGGTCTTTGAGTACTGCTGCTGAATTTTCTTCATGTGGGTATATGAAAATGCAAACGCATGGTACCTTCAGCAGATAAAGAACACAAACTGAGGAAGTCGCCATCAAGTGTAGATAATTATTTAGAAAATATATTGAAAAGAGACATTAAATAATACCAAATATCCAGAATAGATTATCAAATAGGAAGGCCAAAACGGTACAATGACAAAATTTCAGGTCCAAAGTTTACACCAACAAAGGTTCAAAAATTCAGGTCCAAAGATGAAATACAGGCCCAAAGATTTATGAAGAGTCCGGCTTCAACTTCATTTCGAAGAAAGACTTCATCAGAAGTGATTAACACCAAGTAGTGTGAATTTATTTCTTATTATTCAGGTAAAGTAGATAATTCCTTATGTTGCTATGTAGTTATTGTCTGGGACTAGCCCTTCCATAGGTTTAGACAGTTCTTATCAAAGGGCAGATCTTTGTAACAATGTGCTTTTCGCTCTAAGCTGCCTACACGAAAATACAGTAAAACAGATTTAAACACACACACCCCCGAAATTCTGATGGTACAAGAATCTGCCTCAGTGTCACCGGACAATGTCAAAACAAATGATTTTGAACAATCATCATTGCATATGTGACTGAGGTATAGGGCTGCCAAGTGGGGGCGGGGGCGGGGAAACCCCCGCTTTGGAGGCCCGATTTCCGCTGCGGCGGAATCGGGGCCCAGGGGAAACTCCACCCCCCGAAGCTGCGTCGCTCATGTTGGGGGCGTGGCCCAGATCGTCGGGGGGGATTGGTTTCCCCCCGACGATATGGGCCACGCCCCCAACGTGAGTGACGTATCACGTCACTTCCTGTGACATGCTGGTGGCGCGCACGCGTGTGTCCTGGGAGAGCTCTCGGAGCCCGGCAAGGCTCCCCCGCCAGCAAGGGTAAGTACACTTGGCAACCCTACTGAGGTATGTGTTCTTTAAATGGGGTTGCCAATTCAGAAGGAAGTCAGCATGGTATAGCAGTTAGTGCCAGGCTCAGATCTGAGAGACCCGGGTTAGAAACCCTGCTCTGCCTTGTAAGCGCAACAGGTGACCTGGGGACACTCTCAGCTTAATCTACCTCACATTGGTTGCCGTGACGATAAAATGGAGGAGACGAGAATACTGTAAGCCACTTTGGGTCCCCAATGGAGAGAACGGCAGGTTTTCAACAAAGTAAATAAACAAACAGAATAAAATAAACAAATCATGCAAGGAGAAGATACCAAGATCTACTCACTGTGGCACAATTGTGATTTGAACAAAGCAGATGAAGAGGAAGACTAGGGAGGCACAAGCCACATATGCACCAAATCGATCATCCACCTGTTTGGAGTACTGCAAGAAAATTAAGCCGCATGTCACACAACACTGACTTCTCAGAGGAGATCCCGTGACAAAATTTTGCATTTCCTAGCCCACTTGGCTCTATCCTGCTTGCTGCATTGCTAGCTTTCACACACACACACACACACACACACACACACACGCACACACACACACACGTTATAGTGGCAGACCCTGTCTTGGTAAACGAGTGTCTGCCCAAAGTGATAGGATGAGATTTCAAGAATGAAAGGGGAACATTAGGTAGGGGTGCTACAACCTAGCTTCAGCCCACTGCCTTAAGTCACTGTCCACCCAGAATGATTCCCAATGGAATCATAATGGAAGTGGGACAGGCCAGAAGACAAGCTGCTGGGTAGAGAGATCCTCATTCTCTCTCTTTCTCTCTCTCTCTCTCTCTCTCTCTCTGTGTGTGTGTGTGTGTGCGCACGCACGCGCTACGCAGGGCTCTTTTTGTAGCAGGAACTCCTTTGCATATTAGGCGACACACCCCTAATGTAGCCAGTCCTCCAAGAGCTTACAGTAGCCCCCTGTAAGAAGAGCTCTGTAAGCGCTTGGAGGATTGGCTACATTAGGGGTGTGTCGCCTAATATGCAAAGGAGTTCCTGCTACAAAAAGAGCCCCGTGTGTGTGCAAAGCAGTGAGTGTGTATGAGGGAGGTCCAGCACTGACTGTTACTTTTCATGCAGGGGAAGGACAGGATGGAGGACATCCATGTGTGTGGACTTCATGGGTTCACCTTCCCAACCCAGGTTTGGGATTCTACGTCTGTGTATAACCAGATGTATACTGGGGCCGATATTTGGACAGATGAGCGTGAAAGAGAAAGGTGGTTATAATTAACTAAATTAATCTTTACCTAGTATAGGAGCAGAAAGAAAAACAAGGAGGGAAGGCAACTTCGACAAAAGAAGGACAGACGATGTAACAAAATCAAAATTATAGAGCAGTCAGCCAAACGGGCCTGGAAGAAAAAGAGGGAGAAACAGGACTATGCTCAGGTACTGGTAGAATGAGGAAGGGAAAGGATTGTTTTGCTGCTGGGGAAGGGCTCCGCAGGAGTGAGAAAGAGAGGGAACAGAATAAGAGAGCACCGAGAGTGAAGAGGAAGGGAACCCAGGCCAAAAGAGAATGGCTCAGAAAGGGGGAGAGACAATGATGTAGAAAGAAAGAACAGTTAAGGAAGGAAGGGAAAGGTTCATACATTTCCTGATCTTGAAACGTTAAGTTCTGTTAAGAGTCATGGCACTGGAGTAGTGTTGCCAGGTGCCTTCCTCCTGCCAGCAGGGGGATTTGGGGGGCATTCCGGGGTGTGGGCGGGGACTTCCAGAAGTGATATCATCGCATTGGTGACGTTGGGGCGATACTCTACTTATTGGGCAAAACTTTATGGTTAAAAATGGTTACAAACCATAGAGTTTTGCCCAAAAAGTAGAGTGTCGCCCTCAACAGCACCGACGTCACTTCTGGAAGTGATGTTAGCGGGTTGGCAACATCGTGTGGGGATGACTGCTTGGGGGTGGGGTCTCCCCTGCCAGCCAGCCAGCTGGCTGGTGGCAGGGTGGAGCCCGCAAAAGTGGGGATCCCCCACCCCCACCTGGGGACTCGCAAGCCTACAGTAGCGGGACAGTAGGGCAAAACGGATTCTAAAATGGTGGGTTGACAGGATAGTTGTATATCCCAAATTCATGTGGGAACAAGGTTTTCTCATTACCTGAGTTACTCTGAGGGGGACGTAGATGGGACTGGAGATGATGTTACTTTGCTGACTGAGGACTTGATTGGTTTAGTGGGCAGTTATATATTATTAGGATGCTTCTTGAGTGGAACGCTTCGTCGTTCACTTTAGTATGGGCGTGCGGAGATCCAACAGAGTTATGAGACAAGCCCTTGATGAATAGGTGTGAAGATTTCCCCATGGAATCTGGCTGTCCCACACTGCCCTTAATTCCTGTCCTTCTCTAATTTGATTCAAGATGGAGTCTGCCTACCCTTTGGCTTCTCAGATACCCAAGAGCATAGGGTTTCTGAGCTTTAAATCATTCCCCTCAGCACATACGCACACAAGGTGCACGTGATTGGAGCTGACCCTTTAAAGACACGGGTTTAGATCCTACCATAGAGCAAACTGAAAGAGCTTGTGGAGACTGTCTTCTTTATCTTCCCTTTCTACAAGCATCACCTCCCCCTTCCCCCCCTCATGCTGCAGTGCATTTTGCTGGCAGAATATTTTTGGGGCACAGAAGGGGCTGTTGGGTAAAGGCAGAAGGCTTCCATGAGCTCTTTTTACTTATACCATTGTAGGAGCCAACCCATGAATTTGCTGCCATTGTGTATAATTTGACTCACAGTATCTAAGTGATCTTCTTCACACTTACACTTCTTAATGAAAATTACCTTCTTCTCCAAGTCAAGCTCCCTGAATGTTAAGAGGAATTTGCGAACATGTTCAGAACGTAACCGGTCTATGCTTCTGGCGTCAATAGCACGGCCTAAAAACTCATCCACCTCATCTTCTGGATTCATGCTTTCCTGGATATTCCTAGGACAATATTGTAAAACAGAGACTGGTCAGGTTGGACAGAGTACGAAAACCAAAATAATTTTCTCTGACTTGCCACTGAAAAGGTAATCTGTCCATCGCTTTTGGTATCACAGGCGCAGGTTTGAATTGACGGTCTTAAGGGGGAAATGCTATTCCTGTCTAGTCTACTGATGATCTGAACCACTCATTTCTTCTGAAGCGACGGATTTAGAATTCTGAGGGATTTTCCCAAGTGTTATCTGTTCTCGATAACCCTTTAACACAGACACCAATGAGTCAGAGAAAAAGGCCATTTAGGTTTGAACACACACACATGAAGCCGCCTTATGCTGAAGCAATCCATTGGTCAGCATTATCTACTCTGACTGGCAGCAGATCTCCAGGGCCTCAGACATTTTTCATACCATCTGCTAATTGATTTTTTTAAGCAGAGATGCTGGGAACTGAACTTGTGACCTTCTGGATGAAAAGCAAATGCTCTGCCACTGAGCTATGCAGTATAGTAGACTTCACGTTATTAGTCATTAGCAAATGTATGATACGTAGAAAGCCATTTGGCTAGCAACGTAGTCTACTTTTGTACAGCGATCTACAGATGATAGTAAATGTATACTGGCTTGGTGTCCTTTGCCAGCTTGTTGAACAAAATAAACATTTCTACTGAACCGTATCGCACTACTTATTCATAACTTCAAGTCAATAGCATATGTGCCCATCTGATAATAAATAATGTCCTTGTCCCTGTGTCTTGTAATTTTATCCCGTGGAACAAATAGGGCTGCCAAGTCCCCCCGGGGGGCAGATAATCCCCCGCTTTGGAGGCCCGATTTCCACTGCCACGGAATCGGGCCCTGGGGGAAACCCCACCCCGGCATGCACATTAGCCGGATGTGACGTGATGACGCCGGGCATGCTGGGGGCGGGGCCACAGCCATTTGAGGGGAAAACTCTATGTTTGAGGGGAAAACTCTATGTTTTCCCAGCATGCCCAGCATCATCACGTCACATCGGGACGCCAATCGGGAGCCCCTGCCGCAAGGTAAAACAGACTTGGCAACCCTAGGAACAAAAGACCTACACTGGAGTGAAGCTTCAATAAACCAAGCTTCCATGACCCCAAACTCAATAATCCAATTTCACTTTAGTACCTAATGCCAGTGAACAGTGCTCATGTCCGGGTTTTGCTCAGAAAACTATACTCTTGATCTTTCAAATAGGATGAAGAGTCTATGTGCCATGGCTTGGAACAGAGGCAAATAAGAAAACCAAATGTATTACACCACTATAATTTACCACACACATGGCAAGAAAAAAAAAAATCTAGTTAGCATCCCAGAAAGGCACAGTCAAATGATTTCATTCACCATACATAACTGAAATAGCAGAATAATCTAATGGTGATTTCTTAATGACATAAAACAATTAACAATTGAACTTGGCTTCAGAGAAAAAATTAATTAAAAAACAAAAATTTCATCTTAAAATTTTCATGTATTTGCAAGAAATCTGTAGGCAGAAAAGATAGCGATAAAATATGGGTGTGTATACACTGACTTGCTGGTGAGCGATTAAAAAGTCTCCACCTCCTATGAAACAAAATTGAAAACATTTGACCTCACATCCTTTGTGGAGCCTCCAAGGACATTTTACCTCCATCTTGTGGAGGTTCTAATTTAGCACAAACCCCATGATGTTGTAATAAATGGCAAGAAACAACTGCAAAGCCTAGATCTTGAATTATTCATCTCAGATTCCCACAGCTAAATAAAATTCACTTAGTCTCTTCTGGCATCTGTGCAATAAAAATGCTACTTTAACAAATATTCTTAATTAGTAAACAATACTGGTGATAAATTTGATGCTCTCTCTTTCGACCCCACTTCCCTCTTATGTAACTGGTCTCCGAAATTCCTGAGATGCTATTACTAATCTAGCTGGGGTACATGCTTACAGTCAGCAGCAATCAGGCATTAGATCTGAGGTAAATATTAGAGTCAGATTTATTGTCCATAAATCTGGATGAAATACATTTACACAGAAGTGATATATTGCCAGGCACTGCCATTTTCTGAGGAAGTATGGAGTTTGGAGTATGTGTATATTGTTTTTATTAGACAAGGGACATGAAATAGAAACTATTTTTGAATAAAAGCAACAAGAAAAATTCATTTCACAATAAAGTGAAAAAGTAATAGCCTTTGAACACTAAGGACGATTAGTAATTTATGGCAGTATAAACTCAGACTTTTTGAGACAATTATTCTTTTAAAATGGCTGTTGTATAAATTGGCAAAAGGAGGGCATATTTCCTGGAAAATATTTCCTAATTAAACTTATTATGGTTTTTACTACAGTAATTTAGCTTTTAGTCTTATGAAAACAGGATAAAATTAAGAATAATGAAAGAAGGGAATGTTTTATCACAAACATTTCTTGGAAGGAACAAGTTGAAAATAAAATACATGAATTATGAACTCACACTTTGAAAAAGGTTCTGAGCATTAGCAGTGGGTAGGGATCCCAAGTCCCCCCGGGGGGCGGGGAAACCCCTGCCCCAGAGGCCCGTTCCCTGGCGCCGCCGGCGGGCCCCGGGGGAACTCCACCCCGACATGTGCGTCACCCGGAATTGACGCGGGCACGCCGGGGACGGGGCCACGGCCATACAAGGGAAAACTCTATGGTTTTCCCTTGTATGGGTGTGGCCCTGCCCCCAGCGTGCCTGGCATCCTCCCGTCACTTCCGGGTGACGTGCGTGTGGCGTGCGTGCACAAAGCGCGTGCGCGCACAAGACGTCGGCCGGGAGCCTCCTGCTCTCGGCGAAGATACACTTGGCAACCCTAGCAGTGGGCATTTCTGAAGCATCCTGATTTTAATTTTAGGTGTGTTAGTATTGGCTCTGATCATGATGGGCATTCCCAGATTTCACCTAGAGATGACCAGCCATTGTGAAAAGTGAGTTCCCAGCCAGGAACTCCTTGAAACTTTGCTGCAGGCGTCCAGTTCTGGTTGGATTGCTGCAGTGTGGGTTAGGAGGAGAGCCTGCCTCCCACCTACATTTTTTCATCCCCAAAGTGACACGCCCATTACAGCTAGATGGGCCCAAATCTGTGGTGTAGACATGTTCTCTGACATCAGTGGGAGGTAATGGATAGGCAAGATAGGAATGCACTTTCCTTATGCTTCTGTACTGTTCCTGTTTCTGCTTGTAGCCACAACTACAAATGGTGGTAACCTGGTAATCAGTGCTTCAGATACTGCTCTCCCCCTTTCCCCACTTCAAGGTCAGTGTTTACACAGTAGCAACTTGCTGGCTGCAAGCTCAACTTACATTGTGACCAATGTTATGTTCCCAGGTGAGACAGCTCCCTTTTCTGCAACCCCAGAAGTCAGAGGTCATTTCGGGGGGGATCAAGGGGGATCGCAGTTCCCCCGGGTGAGGTATGGGGGGCGGGGCACATGACGAAGCCTCGCCCCCTGCTTTCGGCCACCCCGCTTCCGGCCCTCATTCAGCCAGGAGGAGGCAGGAGAACAGGGAGGGTAAGTTGCTTCCTCCTTGCCTCTCCCCACCCTTGCCTGCCTGAGGCCAGGGAGGGCCTTCGTGGGGCTTCCTTGCACTCCCGCCGGCCTTGCAGGTCCACCGCCGGTCCCCTCATGGGGCTCGGCAGTGGAGCTGCAAGGCCGGCGGTGGCGGCCGGGGTGTGTGGCCTTATGACACACTTCCGGTGATGTCAGGGGGTGTGGCATATGCTAATGAGTTATGCTAATGAGTTCCCCTAGCTCTTTTTCTACGAAATGACCCCTGCATGCGTACATCTGTTTGTAAGAAATAGACCATGCATGTTCACTTAAAAATGAAACTGCGGACCAGTACCTGGATAAATGTGATAAAACACACATTCAGTTGTATATCCATTGAAAGTAAAATGAGAATTACTCAATCCACATATAAAGAAAAATCAAGTGTATACAGATTGTGTTCACTGTAACTTGTGAACAGGGCGAGAGGGCGTGATCTATCCCCAGTCACCCTGAGACCATAGTGATTGAGCAGGCATTTGAACACAAAGTCACCTCCTATGTCTTAAAACCCACTAGCTTTCTATTATTATGAACAGTATACAAAGCCCTTTGATAAAGGCAGCAGGGCAAGGATCCTTTATAGGGTTGAAACAGACAAAATGCTAGGGGGTCAGATCCCCCCCTCCCCCACATTTTAAAATGCTGATAAAACTATATAGGGCTAGATTCAGATCAAGGCTGTATGAAGAATGTGTGCTAACTGCCTCTCTCCTGTGCTCTTTAGCAAGTTAAAGGCCCCTGCCACACGGGGGGGGGGGGACACCGGCAAAGTGCGGCTTTTTAAAGCTGCACCAAAATAGACACGCCGCGGCGGGATCCCACGGATCCTATGAGCCGTGCGCCGTTGCTCCCCGGCATGATCAGATGCCAGGGAGGAAGCCATGGTCAGGAGACCGAGGCAGCCGGATGCGGATGCGTGCGCGTGCGCAGTTCGGCCAGGAGCCAGGTATGCGCTGGCAGAAGGTTTAGATGTGGGTTTGGGGCCGAAAGGGCCGGATCGGGGACGGTTGTGCAACGTTTCCCAGATGTTATGGTGGGATTGCGCCCGTTTGTTGCGCCCCCGATCCGTCCCTCTCCCGGCCCAAAACCTTTCGTGTGAACGGGGCCCTTGGATGACCAAGGGGTAAAAGGAGTACTGAAGGATGATAGGGAAATGGCTGAGAAGCTAAATGCATTTTTTGCCTCCGTCTTCACTGTGGAAGATGAGAGGTGCTTGCCCACTCCAGAGCCGCTGAGTTCGGGAGGGGTGTTGAAAGACCTGAGTCAGATTGAGGTGACGAGAGAGGAGGTCCTAAAACTGATAGACAACTTAAAAACTGATAAATCACCAGGCCCAGATGGCATACATCCGAGAGTTCTGAAAGAACTCAAATGTGAACTTGTAGATCTCCTGACAAAGATATGTAATCTTTCCTTAAAATCTGCCTCCATTCCTGAGGATTGGAAGGTAGCTAATGTCACTCCCATCTTTAAAAAGGGTTCCAGAGGAGATCCGGGAAATTACAGGCCAGTCAGTCTGACATCGATACCGGGTAAATTGGTGGAAACCATTATTAAGGAAAGAATTAGTAGGCACATAGATGAACAAAACCTATTGAGGCAGACTCAACATGGGTTCTGTAAGGGAAGATCTTGTCTCACTAACCTGTTAATGTTCTTTGAGGGGGTGAACAAACATGTGGACAAGGGGGATCCAATAGATATTATTTACCTTGACTTCCAGAAAGCTTTTGATAAAGTTCCTCATCAAAGGCTCCTAAGTAAGCTCAAAAATCATGGGATAGAAGGACAAGTCCTTTTATGGATCAAAAACTGGCTAATTCATAGAAAACAGAGAGTGAGTATAAATGGGCAGTTCTCCCAGTGGAGGGGTGTAAGCAGTGGGGTACCACAGGGATCAGTACTTGGTCCACTGCTTTTTAACTTGTTCATTAATGATTTGGAGTTGGGAGTAAGCAGTGAAGTGGCTAAATTTGCGGATGATACAAAGTTGTTCAGGGTGGTGAAAACCAGTGAGGATTGTGAGGCACTCCAAGGGGATCTGTCAAGGATGGGCGAGTGGGCGTCAACATGGCAAATGGGGTTCAATGTGGCCAAGTGCAAGGTGATGCACATTGGAGCCAAAAATCCTAAATATAAATACACATTGATGGGGTCTGAACTGGCAGAGACTGAGCAAGAGAGAGATCTTGGAGTTGTAGTGGATAACTCACTGAAAATGTCGAGACAGTGTGTGACTGCAATAAAGAAGGCCAATGCTATGCTGGGGATTATTAGGAAGGGTATTGTAAACAGATCAGCCAATATCATAATGCCGCTATATAAATCAATGGTGCGACCTCATCTGGAATACTGTGTGCAATTCTGGTCACCACACCTTAAAAAGGATATTATAGCTTTGGAAAAAGTGCAGAAAAGAGCAACTCGAATGATAAAAGGGTTGGAACACTTTCCCTATGAGGAAAGGTTAAAGCGCTTAGGGCTCTTTAGCTTGGAGAAAAGACGACTGAGGGGTGACATTGTGATACAGAGTGTTGGACTGGATGGGCCTTTGGCCTGATCCAACATTGGCATCTCTTATGTTCTTATGTTCTCCCTGTGCCACTGCTAGCTCTTGAACAAAAAAAAAGTTAAGTATCCTATATTTTTTCCTTTGAGGAAAAATAAAAGGAAAGGGGGTTACAGCATTCAACTGGCAAAACCATGGGGTGGAGGGACACCCACCTATCCTCCCCCTGTGCAACCTTGATCCAAATCGGGCCCATGCAACTAGGGTTGCCAGGTCTGAGTTGGAAAATACCTGGAGACTTTGGGGGTGGAGCCAGGAGAGGGCGGGGCTTGGGGAGGGGAGGGGCCTCAGCATGGTACAATGCCACAGAGTCCACCCTTCAAAGCAGCCATTTTCTCCAGGGGGGCTGATCTCTATCAGCTGGAGATCAGTTGTGAAAGCGGGAGATCTCCAGGCCCCACCTGGAGGCTGGCAACCCTAAATGTAACATGGTTTCAGTTCACATTTTTTAAACGTCATGGATTTTCCAGGGTCTAGTATGACCTATAAAGGCCTACATTCAAGTAATGTTTTCTCCATCATGGTTCTGCTAAAGTCACTATCATTGTTCTCTGTCGACATCTTCCTCTACTTCCCCTCTCCTTCTTTTATTTTCTCCGGTACTTTCCCATTTGGTTGTATTCATTTTCATACAACAACATTGTAGGTTTTTCTTCCAACCACAACTATCTTTGTTTTAAAATGTTGACCATTCAGAGGTCTTCAGACGGTGTTGCTGCCTATCAATGGCAAAATGCCAGCTACAGAAAATTTGCCTCAGTCAAAGTTTCAGCAGTTCATTTCCTTTCCTTCAGAGAAACAGAAGCCTGGTAGGCAGTGGCCAAGCCACCGGGTGTTGACCAGGGGAAAAAAGAGGAAACTCTGCCTGAGGAATCCTGGAGCCCCATGGAGACCATGTTGTTTCTGCTGTCTTTTTCTTAATGTGACTTGATTGCAGGGGTCGTTTCGTAGAAAAAGAGCTAGGGGAACTCATTAGCATAACTCATTAGCATATGCCACACCCCCTGACATCACCGGAAGTGTATCATAAGGCCACACCCCCTTACATCACCGGAAGTTTGTCACAAGGCCATACACACTGCCCCCAACGGTCTCGGCCGCCGCCACCGGCCTTGCAACTCCACTGCCGAGCCCCATGAGGGGTCCGGCGGTGGACCTGCAAGGCCGGCGGGAGTGCAAGGAAGCCCCGCGAAGGCCCTCCCTGGCCCCAAGCAGGCAGGGGTGGGGAGAGGCAGGGAGGAAGCAACTTACCCTCCTTCTTCTCCTGCCTCCTCCTTGCTGAATGAGGGCCGGAAGCGGGGCGGCCGGAAGCAGGGGGCGGGGCTTCGTCATGTGCCCCGCCCCCCGTACCTCACCCGGGGGAACTGTGATCCCCCGCGTTCCCCCCTGAAATGACCTCTGCTTGATTGTTCGGATTGTCCATAAGAAACTGGGAGAGAGGAAGGACCGCACATAGCACCCTAAGCGCCTTGACAGAAGGGAAATGAAATGAAAATGTAATTTTAAAAAATAGAGTAGGATATAAATTTTGAAAAAAAAAATGAGCTATATTAAGGAACAAGTGGAAGGATCATAGGATTTAAGGGTGCATGTGTTTGTCATATGGACTTTTATGCATGCAGTGTGGTCTGAAACCTAATAAACATTTAATGGGTACATGTGAATTTAGGAGCATAAAAATTAGAATGCAATACCATATTTTTCAGAAGGGTAAACTTCACATTGCATTAAAAAGAAATAAAGTTTTTTTTTTCCTTACTTGTCTTTTGGATCTTCAAAACCCTGAAAGGAAAATTAGAAAAAAAAATACTAATTAGCCTTGAGTACAGTGCAGAATTGTGTAGTGTTACACTTAATACAGCAGCATTTGTTAACACCATACTTGCAAGAGTCTTTCAAAGAGACTGCAACGTTCAGCATTGATTGATCAGTGTGCAAACCTGTCTCTTCCAGTACATCTAAGATACGCATAAAGAAAGTACAAAAGAAAGGGAACTAAGCTGCTCTTTTGAGTTTCCTTACCAGATATAATTAATCAAACGGGATTTGTGCTTGCCTGAAACTCATTCATGGGAACATCGATGATCCATTTTTGCTATCCAAACTGTGTGAGAAAACGATGCTTAGCAATCACGCACAGGAATATATTTTGACGAAATGTATAATATTGATAAGATAACAGAGAGGAGTTTATACTCTCCTATTTTGACCAAAACCTGTACTTTTTCAGACTCTTGATGTTACTTACTTTGTTATTTGATTGTTCTTACTGTTGGTATAATCAATTTTTATGTAACCTATTTTATGACAAAACAATAAAATGAAAATTTTAAATTAAAAAAAAAAGAAATAGTGAGCCCAAAAGGTAGCTTAACACTGGGAGTTTGTTACCGCCCACCAGATCAAAAGATAGAGGAGGATTATAAAATGATGAATGAATTAAAGATAGCAGCTAGACGAAAAAAAAGAAAAAAGAAAACGTTGACTGTGGTACATGAATTGGGATGATTGTACTGCAAAAATCTGATCACCTGTTACCCATCCGATTTTGTGCAGAGTATTCCAACTGGTGAGTACTGAAGCAGGAATATGAGTGCATTCGCATGATATGTGACTCCATGCTAAGCATAGAGTCCAGTGGCAAAGTTTTATTCAAGGTATGAGCCTTCATGCGCGCGCACACTTCTTCAGATACATTGAAATGGAAGTATTTGAGGAAGAGTGCGTGCACGTGAAAGCTCACAACTTTGAATAAAACTTTGTTGGTCTTATAGGTGTCACTGGACTCTAACTTTGTTCTATTGCTTTAGTCCAAGACAGCTGCCCACCTGGATCTATCTATGCTAAGTATGCTGGAACATGCAAAGTAATGGAACTCTTCATCGTATACAGCCTAGAACCTATCAGAGCTGGGAGAGAGGTTGGCCGAGTTCAGACTGGCAGTTTGCCCCGATATACGCACGTTTCAGAAACGTTCCACAACCAGATTAAAGGGGCCGTTCACACAGGCACATCTGTCAGGCGTTCCCCACCCATATTCAACCCATCTTGCAATGCTTCACTCCTGAGTTTAAAAGAAAGTGAAAGTGGTAGCAGACCCTGGAAAGCGCGATTATCCCATGTCCATCCCGCACCAACAAAGTGTGAATGCCAAAAGTCACATTTTTTCTTACACGCATGAGCACTCATGCGCATAAGCGCATATCTACAGATTACGAAAAAAGAAAGCCGTGCCTTAAAGCTGTGCCTCCAGGCCAACAGTGCGAATGCTCCCTTGTGCCTCCTCCCGGTATGCTCCGTCGCTGCAGTGTGAACGGGAAAATCCGGAAGAGTTTGTTCCAGCTCTTTTTTAGCCACGACTCCCTCCCGCTTCAAACTGCCAGTCTGAACTCAGCCGTTGATGATCAGGTACGAAGGGCCAACACAAGAGGCCTAGAACATATTCATCAATACTACAGAGAAGAAGCTCCCATTCCAATTAAAGTTCTGTGTGGGGAAAGCCTCAGAAAGATTAAGTTCTGCAGTAATCACTGGACGTGTTCCATGTTCTGATTAATCTTTTACAAAGCAGGATCTTTAGAACATATATGAGACGAAAGATAGACAAATTGCCTCCCTTCAAATAATGTTCAGTGAATTATGACACTGCTTCAAAATCTTTTCTCATAAGTGTGGCAAAGGCGATTCAGTCATCAAAATATTATAGGAAAGAACAAAATATCTACATAGCTTTGCACAGAAATGTGAGATGATAACAAATTATTTCAGATCTGTTGAAGACAAATACAAAAGCTGGTCTTCTAACCAATGTTCCCTCTAAACTGTGGAGTCTCGTGAGCAAAAATTCTAGTTTGTGAGCTACTGGCATTAAAGATTTGGTTACTGCATCAATTAGTTTGCTCTGGAGCCCATCCTTCCTGAGCTAAGACAAAAATGATGTGAGCCGGAGGCTAACAAACTGTGAGCTGGCTCACACTAAGCTTAGAGGGAACACTGCTTCTAACTCAAGCTTAAGACGCATTACAAGCCACATTCAAATCTACTGAAACAAAGGGCTTCAGTGTTAACAACCCATAACAGAATTCTGTCCCTTCATTTAGGTCTTGATGTTTTTGTTTTTAAAATTGCAATTCACATGGGAAACCAGAATGCAACACATTTATATTCCTCTTTCGATTCTTTTTACATGTATGGTAAAGGATGTATGTTACTTTTAAGATTTCATTCAAAATAGAAACAGTGATGTAAAAATAGTGGGTTAGGAATGGCATAAAGGACACCTGCTGTTTTAGGTGACTTAAATAAGAGCAACTAGCAGCCTAAAAAAACAAGTCAGAAAGGAGGTATGTTAATGTTGCTCTAAATTTAACACGGCCAGTTAGTCATTCCAGAGAATGGCACACATGCTTTTGATTATACATGAAAGAAGGATTGATAAATTATTGTGAAATCCTTGTACTTTTGGTCTGAGCACTTCAAAGGAATCTACAATTTGTTCTTTAGTTTGGTATTCTCCTAAAAGTGATTTAGAACTGGGTACCTAGCCTTTGACCCGCTCAACAAATCTGGCCCACACAGTGGAATACTCTGGCCCTTAGAACTGAAATAGATGCTACGGAATGAAAAACACTAACTTAAAAGCTAAAATAAAAACTAAAGCCAATGCAATAGCTATCTTCTGAATGTGACTCACCATTGCATCATGTCAAGACTACAAGCTCTGAGCTGACTAAAACACTTCAAAGAAAGATCCCCCCCCCCCAGTTCTGTGGAACAACAGTTGTACACCATGCAGTTCTGCTACTCAATTCTGCTAATGAAGACAGCCACTGGATGTGGTCCAGTACAGCTGAGCACACTTATGACCAATCACTTCTACAGGACTTAGACACATAACGGTGTGCTAGATTTGCAGCCATTTGGTTCTCTGGCAAAAATACACAGATTTTTAAAGTGCATCACGCTGGATATGGGTTTAGATCCAATGCTCTCTTTGATTCCCCTTGAAATGTCACTGCTGAGGGTTGGGTAGACACTCAAGCACAGCAGGCCATGCTGCATGGAGGGCTGCAGCAAGAAGGTGGGGAGAAACCGCTCTCCCTCACTCTTGCACTGTCATTCAGGAGGACAGGTTCCCTCCTTTCAACAGCAGCAATGGCACGGGGGGGGGGGGGGGGGAGGGGCTGCAGAAAAAGGACACTGGTAAAAAAAACTCCTCCGTAAACCCGCTCTGTTTATGGAGGCTCTGGATCCAACCCATCACCTCATTTTTACTTTTATTATCTATTATTTATTATTGTTGTTATTATATTTATTAATCATTTGCTGAAAATATACAAACTCAGCAAAGTACTGAGCTAAGCTATGAATTCGCCAAGTCCTTCCTTTATCTGAATGTTATTGATCATGTTTCTTTCGATGACCTCGCCCACTTCCCTCCCTCAGAGGCAAGATTTCCCCTCCATTTTTCTCTCCCGTTCTGACTGAGCAGCTCTATTTATTGATTTCCATCCTTTCTGAAGAATGATGGCTGTTCTACCCTGTCACCCTGTATAAAAGTTTGCTCCCGGCACGGCCCAGGAACCCAAGGGAAGGGTCAAGATCCCCCCTTTAACTTATATCACTGAAATGGCACTCAAGGCTTTTAAAAGTTCAAAAATAACAAAGGCTGCGGTCACACGGAGCATAAGCCACGCTTCAGAGACGGAAGAGAGGCGGAGTTTCCTGGCGCGATCACAGGGCAACATCTGGCAAGTGTAGAGCTCCCGTCGGTAACCCGTGGCTAAACGCCAAAGCAGCGCTGTAAAAAACTAGTACCGTGGAGGTACTAGTTTCCAGAAACCGCGGGGCAAGGGCGGGCGTATGACCGTGTTTCCGGAGGAAGTTCCAGCGCCCGCCCATGTCCCCTAGCTAAAAGGTTTTTTTTTTCCCGAGTCTCCACGATTGCGCACAAGCACCAAACGGAGCATGCGCAAACGGATGTTTAATTAAAAAAAAAGCAACATACGTTGTGCAGAGAAGAGGAGAGCAGCCAGAAGACAGCACCAACGAGTGCATGGCTTGAGGCGGCGAGCGACAGATGGGGGAAAGGGGGCAAGGCAGAAGATGAAGCCCAGAAGAGGGGGGGCGGCAGAGTAGGACGTCTGCTTGGGCGGAGGGGCGGTCAGGGCGGAGGGGGCTGGGCCATGCTGCTGTGCCCTCTTCGCACGCCCCACCAGCCAGCTCCCCGGACTGGTGCCCTTCCAGACCTACTGCCCACCCCTTGCCTGCCTCACTGGTGGGGAAAACGCCGTGCCCGACAGGATGCCACACCACCCAGTCGGCAGCTGGCCCCTCTTCTCCCCAGCGCCGCTTGGCCGGCTGTCTCTGGCAGCCCCCTCCTCGCCTTCCCTCGGCGCGCGGCCCCCGCTTCTTTGCCCCGAGGCCCTGCTTCTTTGCCGTGTGATCCGCACCTCCCCATAACTACTGGACCTCCACGGAACCTCCACGGGACCTCCATGGGAGGTCTGATCGTGCAACCGCGCTTTGATTTTCCCCGGGGGAAACAGCCACGCTCCCCCCCCGCATTTTCCTGGCCGTGTGACCGCAGCCTACATATTTTATTCAACATAGAGGGGGATGGTCAGGTGAAATCAGGGGTAAAATTTCTGAGGTATATCGATATGGGCACAGACTACAGTTCATTTGTTTTAAGCAACTGAGAGTTTCTTAAGCTTTTCACAGTGACTTAGAATCTTTAAGATGAGAGGCTTTTGTTCCAGTGTATTTGACTCTTTTGGTTT